TTAGGGGAGAAAAAAGCAATGTCTCGGCACAGTAAAAATCCCTGGGTAAGAAAGGAGAGGTGTTAAAATCTGTAAGTGTTTTCCATATCTTTTCCAAAGCCTGCATAATCAAATCTAAGTTGGGTTTAGACAGATCTTGTTTTTGCTAGGAGAAAGAGGAACTAAGAGTTTTCTCTGGTTTTCCCCATCCTCGTTCAACTTTCTACATACTGAGAAAATAAAGTGAAGTATTCTTTTCTTATTCTAGTAACAGATATTAGCTGAATCCAAATACAATAGGTTGACATAATTTTCAAGGGCCTTGTTTAAACTCCACTAGTGTGTAATTTTCCTAGTTGTAAATTTTTTTTTTTTTTTTCTGAGAAGCATATTCTCAGAGAGCCTTTAAATTAGCCTGCAAAATTAGAATGACTGATCCTAGTTTCCGATCCTATTTTGAATCCTGGTGAGATACAACAGATTGTAATGTGATGAAAATATTGAAGTACTTCATAAGAGCTAGCCATTACATGGTAAGCCTGTGCGTGCCCTACCTGTAGCAGAACTGCTCTCCCACTTTGAGGCCTTCCTGTAGGTGACTGAGCCATTAGTGAGTGAGTCCCCTGGAGTGTTTTCTCTCAACATACGTGTGACTCTGGCAGTTCTAAAGTGGGGTGCTTTGTTTCAGGGGGTGTGTTGGACTTGTAACCTGTTCCCTTTGCAGTGACAAGGTAGTCTAAACCAATTCACTCACACAACATGAAGATACATGAGTTTTTCTGCAGTTTCTGGAACCGAAAGCCCCTCAGCTTATTGCAGCACTAAGACGACCGGTTGCTGTGTTCATGCTAGCAGATCTTGACACTTACGTAGAGCTTTACTGGAGCTGCCAGCAAATGCAAGAGTCTGTCCTTGCAAGATGAACTGCAGCTTGAGCCTGGTGTTAGGAGGGAAGAGGCAAAGCAAGCAGCAGTTTTTCCATAGACTTAAGTGAAATGAGAACGATTATTTACCTTTGCATGGTTTTGGCTGTTTTTTTTGATCTCACACCTCTGTTGCTGACAACTGGAAACATACCTGAAGTTTTTGAATTCTTCAAATTAAAGTACATATTTCCAGATCTGTATTTTAGGTTCATCTGTTTCTTCCTGGTTATTTCCAATTAGGAATATTGGAAATATTAAGAGTATCAGGAATGTTGCACACCAATTAGTTACATAGCAAAGCTTTCCCTGTGGCTAACTTTCCTGCTTTGTGTAGTAACTTCTCTACAATCGTTGCACTGATTTTTAGAGCAGTAGATTGGTCTCTGTTAGCAGAGATTAATCAGACAATGAATTTTAATCTGCAATTCAAAAATTAGTAAAACCAACTTCCTCAAAGTTTTTTTTGGAGTGAAATTCCAGAGTAGAACCCATAAGTTTTCTGGAAGAGGTAAAAAGCTGCTTCTGCAATTTTGGAGAAGTGCAATTCAGCCCTTTGCTGAAAACAGCTGAAGATAAAAACTGAATGCTCTATCTTTGTGAATAAGACTAGTTTCTACGTAAAACATGGTGCTTATTTCAGTCTAGAACTTCATATTTCCTATTTCATCCCTCTGTGAACTAGCCTTAGTATCTATAGTGTCTGAAAGCAGTGAAGTAGTAAAGGTGAAGATGTTACTCATATGTAGATGACATGTACAGTAAGATGTAGAGGATGTTGCTTTTTTACAATACTGGCTAGAGCATGTGATGGAGATCAGGGCTGAATTTGTATGTGGCCTGAAATACAGAGAGTACTCAGTAAAGAGAGCTGAATGTCCAAGTAGATGTTTCAAGGTTCACAGAGACAGTAGCGTGGAGGTCTTGTTATATTGCCTTGCCTTGTTATACCATACCATGTGCCTGCTTCTGCTGCGCTACTCTTAAACTTGCTTACAGTTAAGGAGAGGAACTTTGTGTTATGTGATAATATCCAAATCAGGAAAACTGGTTAGTGGAACAATTCCACTTGCATCATTGTACTAATTCTATGTAATATCCACCAACATCGTCTGGGAGGTTTTTTACCTGCTATCCTAGAATAGTATGTTTAGGTGCTTATGCACAGAAGTGAAGAACAGGAAGAAGTGAGTTTGAAGAGTAAGGTTATAATATATATTTCAATATAGTGTGTGAAGTAGTGTATATTTCAAGTAAAGTTTAGTGTTAATATGGAACTTTAAATCTCTGTGAATAAATTTACTGAACTGACTTCTGAAACATAAAATATTTCATAAGTAGAGTTATATTTCAAAGCCTTAAATTTTAAACGCCTGGAATGGTTACTTAGCCAGGGTATGGCTATCAATTGTAGTCCATGTTTTCAGAGAAGATTTGGCAAGAGGAGAAATTTTATTTTGTCAAAGGCCTGACTTGCCTTCCTGCTTACCTTCCCTTGGGAACAGTGGTTTGAAGCAACAAGCTGAGAAAGAAAAGTTACCCAGGAAATGTTGCTCAGAAATTGCATAGGTTTGTGGGTGGCTCAACAAAGTGGGAAATGGGTTCCTTGTGTTGTCTGGGTCACTGCTGGATGTGTGACTTTGGTAACAACTAAGAATGACCACTGTTTGACCTCCTCTTCTATTATAAAATTTGGTTTTCTCGTGCACTAATAGGAATAGAATTAATGAATGTGAATGACACACAAGTAGGTGGTGTTATGTGCCTTCTTGTAATTTCAGTACAAGAGTTTAAGATTAATGGTAATGGAAGCCCGAATCTATCTTTAAGATGTCGAATTGTTTATTGAAATTAAAGAATAGTTCAGTTGAGTGGGATTTTTAATCCATTGATTTTATTTCCTTTTCTGCTTAGTTTAGGAATAAAGGAGGAACTGTAAAAAAAAAAAAAAAAAAAAAAAAAAAAAAAAAAAAGAAGAAGAAGAAGAAAGTTTTACTTCTGTGTATAGCAGACAAAGTTCTAAACTTCCCTAATGGCATTTTCTGCCCAGCTTTATTTGTGGAATTCTTTTTTAGTAGGTACCTGTTCATTATAAGTGGACATGCAGTTTTCACAACTGAAATGGAGTTTTCTGTGTTCTGCTTAGCATGAACTAGGTAATCACAATCTAAATCATATAAACTCTGGTGTTTGCAGTTCCTGCGCCACCGTGTTTTACAGTGAAATTAGTCTTATTCACAAAGATAGAGCACTTAGTTTTTATCTTCAGCTGTTTTCAGCAAAGGGCTGAATTGCACTTCTCCAGAATTACAGAACAGGCTTTTTTACCTCTTCCAGAAAACTTATGGGTTCTACTCTGAAGTTTCACTCCAAAGGAAAACTTTGAGGAAGTTGGTTTTACTTATTTTGTAATGCCTTTTCTGGAACTTCGAACTGTTCAGCAGCTGGTCTTTCAAGTTCATTATCCTGCAAAGAGGGACTGGGAGCAGAAGTATCTGGAGATAGAAAGTAGTCATTTTCACAGGAATAGGAAAGATTAGAGCAACTCATCAAAGTTTAGGGAATAATTGTAAAGCTAGCTGTATGTAGGGGAAGCATGTAGTTGATGGTTTTCAAAGGTGATGCATTCAAATTTTTTTTTTTTTTAAGTGGAAGAGAACAGGCAAAACAGTCTCTCTGAATTGGAAAGGAATTTCTATTTTTTTTAATGTTGAAAGAATGCTAAACTTTATTGAACAGGGGCTGCTTCTGTGGGACTCACATTCGGTACCTACCACCATGGTTTGATAACACTGTGAGGACTCCAGGTGCTGTTGCTGTAAAAATAGTTACTGTGATGCCTGTTGCGTCTTTATAACTTGAAGATGAGACATCTTTGCACTTAAGAGCAGCAGGGGATACAGTTTCCAAACCGTTCTTATTCTGAATATTAAATAACAGATTTAGTTGCAAATTTCCATGTAGAAATTAATCAGAAGGAGATGGCTGAGAGAACATGGTGTGCTGCTTGTGCTTCTTTATCTGGAGAGATGTTAGTGGCAGAACAGTGCACTTGTCAGAATTTCAAGTAGTTAGACTGTATTATTTGCTGTATTTGAAGTGAATTGTGTCAAATGTATTATTAATAGACGAGAAAACGGTCAGTTTAAAAGTTAGCAGTGCATTGGAAGATAACACTGCAGCTAATTCAGCCAGTAGTATTTTGCCACAGAACGCTCAAAACAACATTTCTTTTAGTTACAGATTTTTCTTTAAAAGGTGGAGCTCTAACCAAATAGGATTACAGCATATGCAATAGCACTATTGTTTTTCTCTTTAAGGTTTGTGTTGGTTTTTTTTTTTTAAATAATGGAAGTCAGCCTGTATACTATGGTGAGATTTTTCAGAATAATCAGAATGATATGGGAGCACGTAGTTTCTTTAGCTTTTCTCTTAATTTGTATCATAAATTTGAAAAAAATCACCTTGGATTAGGTTTTTCAGCATGGTGTAAGCAATTTTTATCTGCACCAACTCTAGTCTTGGCTGTCAAACTGCCTATGGCCAGTTAACCCACAGGAAGAGAGTGTGATACAACAGCTCCTACGTTATTCTGCTTCCTTCCTCCCTATTTGCTGCTGATGCCAAATGCACAGTGGAGAAAAAAGGGTACATGGCAGCATCCACAGGTTTTACTTGTGATTCCTGGCTGCCATTTTGGTAACGGTAATTTATTCCAGATGGGTTTGCAACTCTGCCTCATGACTTTCGTTGCATGTATCTTGTCTGGGGCAATGAAGCTGATCGAGTATCCTTCATGTTGTCCATGTACAACTCCATTAACAAGTGAGGAACACTTGCTAGAACTTGTTGCATTGTAGCTAACACAGTGAATAAAAGAAGTTGTCAATCTGCTTCTCTAAGAAACAAATAATGGCTTGGTCACTTTTTAAAATAATACTGTGAAAAGTGTTGTTCAGCTGTGGTGGTGTATCTCAAATTCTAGCCTATGAGAGACACCTCTGAGAAGAAGATATTTTTACATTAACCACAGAAACTGCAATCCTTAAAGATAACTTTAAATAAGAAACTGTTTTATTAACAGTAATTTTTTTGTTCCTTTTAGAATAAAGGTTCACTTCAGTTTGAAGACAAATGGGATTTCATGCGCCCTATTGTTCTGAAACTTCTTCGTCAGGAGTCTGTCACAAAACAGCAATGGTTTGATCTCTTTTCGTAAGTAATTTTTTGGTACCTTACATCCTTCTACATAATGGGAATACAGTTATGGTTCTACTTCCAATACAGAAGTCATGTATGACATGGACTGTGTGGGAACACACAGAACAACAGTAATAGTTTAAGTTTTATTAAGTGGTAAGTGTGCCTTCATCACTGTAAATATGCAAAAGTAGAGTTTTGCTGAGATTCAGGTCTTTGCAGATAGGATGGAGAAAGAACAGCAGAGCTTTTGATTTCACCTGATCATAGGAAACAAGTTTTGTACCTGCCCACAAAGCTTTTCTTAGGAACTTGAGAAAGAAAATCTTGTTTACTTGCTTTGGCAGTAAGTTCATTTAAAGGCAGTTTGCTGAATGCTACGTTGTTCTGATTTGAATGGCTTTCTTCTAAAATAACTTAAGAATGCTACTGAAGTAATGGGGTAATGCAGTCTAACTGGTATAATTTGAGTATTTTTATACCCTAAGAATAATATATATATACTATTTTTCAGACAGTGTTTGCATTATTGTACTTTCTAAAAACCCTGCCATTTTCCTCCTTCCAAAAAAACAGAAGTTGCTTCATGTTAGGTGATGATTTTTTTCTTAAAATACATTGTGTGACCTTTGCCAACATAATATGGAAGTGAGGTAAAACATATATATCGAAAGTATATCTAAAATAATCTTTGTCTCAACATAGTTATTTTCCCTCAAATACAGTTGTAGCTTAAATCTGCAGTCTCTCTTGCTGTTTTTTAAAATCTGTCACAAAAGTTTTTTATTTAAATGCAGTCTTGTTGCAGTGTATATCTTTATTGCTCTTTTTGATGAGGATGATGCAGTGATTCTTTTTACACCCATCTTACTGCACCTGTCACACTTTTCTGCCAACCATAAGGAAAGGTAGTTTATCATGTAATGAGTTTTAATATCTTATGAGATCACAGCTATAGTAGTTGCCAGAAATGGGGTTACAGTTAGGGTACAAATTCAGTTCTGAGTCATTGCTTTCATTTTTAATAACTAGTTCAGTAATTCTGTACTGGTATCGACATTTTCCATTTATTATTTTTCTTGTAGCTGAATTATTGAATAGAACTTGAGTAACTTTATGGCTAAGTTAAGGATATTGAGGGAAAGGATCTTCTCTTTGTTAAGCTCTTTAATATAATTTCAAAATCTGTAGGTATCTTCTACCTGCCCAGTTATCCAGTATTGCTTTTTTTCCACTGCTGTCGGGAAACGGTGGCATTTTAGATGCAGTAACACCTTTTCTGCATGTGAAAGTTGTGTAAGTCTCACAAGTTAGGTAGACCTCTGTAAATCCTGGGCCAGCACATTTGATCTGTGTCAAAGGAACTTTTTACCTTGTAAGTTTAGTCTTTTCAGTTCAACTAAAAAAGATGCTTTTGGATTGAAATAACTGTATTGATTTAATAGGAACAAAGTCATACCTTTAGATTATATAGCTACTTTCCTGTAAAGATGTGGCCTTATTTTAGAAAGGAGGAAGAAGAACCAGAGGAAGGTAATGAGTCAAAAAAAGGCTTGCTAGGCCACATTATATATGATGTATGGTTAGGAGCTTAACTTGCTTTATTTAGTCTCTAGTTTGGAAAGAAAATAAGAATTCGGTCACACTAGCTGGGCTGTCAGCTAGGAAAAACAGGAATTTGTTTGAACGTTGATTAAAACTCAAATAGAATTTTGCTTTGCGATGCTGTTCAGTAGTTTTTCTGCAGTAGGGTTTCACTTCAGAATGCTGCCACTGTCATGAAACGTTTAAGTGATCTTATTAAACTAATTAAAATATCTTTTAGATTACTTGATGCCCCTGAGTTCAAATTTCTCACAAGGAAGGTCTGTTTTCTTTGTAGTACAACTTGGGTTCTGCAACTGAGAGTGAAGGCTGCATGTTAATGAGGGTATTTTAAAATAATATGGGTTGAGTAGTAATGTTTCTACTGGCAAGTGATTTCTGTCTTTGACAAAAAAAAGCTTTAAAAATTGTCCTTAATGGAATAAGGATTCTTGAATAGATACTGAAAACAGAATTAGCTTCTACATCTCCTTCTTGACCATAGCCTTTTCCTAGCTAGGTTGCTGTTACTTGCTTCCAAGAGTTTCTAAGAGAATCATAGAATCTTGGGTTGGAAGGGACCTTTAAACGTCATCTAGTCCAACCCCCCTGCAGTGAGCAGGGACATCTTCAACTAGAGCAGGTTGCTCAGAGCCCCGTCCAGCCTGACCTTGAATGTTTCCTGGGATGGGGCATCTACCACCTCTCTGCGCAGCCCATGCCAGTGTTTCACCACCCACATTGTGAAAAATTTCTTCATTATGTCTAGTTTAAATCTGCCCTTGTTTAGTTTAAAACCATTGCTCCTTGTCCTGTTGCAACAGGCCCTGCTATAAAGTCTGTCCCCATCATACTTACAAGGCCCCTTTAAGTACTGGAAGGCTGCAATAAGGTCTCCCTGGAGCCTTCTCCAGGCTCAACAATCCCAGCTCTCTCAGCCTGTCCTCACAGGAGAGGTGTTCCATCCCTCTGAGCATTTTTGTGGCCCTCCTCTGGACCTGGTCCAACAGCTCCATGTCTTTCCTGTGCTGAGGGCTCCAGAGCTGAATGCAGCACTGCAGGTGGGGTCTCCCCAGAGTGGAGTAGAGGGGCACAGTCACCTCCCTCGACCTGCTCGCCACGCTGCTTTGGATGCAGCCCAGGATACAGTTGGCTTGCTGGGCTGTGAGCACACATTGCCAGCTCACATCCATCTTTTTATGCACCAGTACACCCAAGTCCTTCTCAGCAGGACTGCTCTGGATGCCTTCATCCCCCCACCTGTATTATACTGGGGATTGCCCCGACCCAGGTGCAGGACTCTGCCCTTGGCCTTGTGGAACCTCATGAAGTTCACACACACCCATTCCTCGAGCTTGTCCAGGTCCCTCTGGATGGCATCCCATCCCTTAGGCATGTCAACTGCACCATTCAGCTTGGTGTTTTCTGCAGAGTTGCTGAAGGTGCCCTTGATCCCACTGTCTATGTCATGTATGAAGATATTGAACAGTACTGGTCCCTATATGGACCCCTGAGGGACACCGCTCATCACCGATCTCCATCTGGTCATTGAGCCGTTGACCACTACCCTGTGGATGCGACCATCCAACCAATTCCTCATCCACCCAACAGTCCACCCATCAAATCCCTATCTCCAGTTTAGAGAGAAGGATGTTGTGGGGGACCGTGTCGAAGGCCTTACACAAGTCCAGATAGATGACATCCTTTTCTCTTCCCTTGTCCACTGTTGAAGGCACTCCATCCTAGAAGGCCACTAGGTTGGTCAGGCAGGACTTGCCCTTGGTGAAGCCATGCTGGCTGTCTCGAATCACCTCCCTGTCCTGCATGTACCTTAGCATAGCTTCTAGGAGGATCTGCTCCATGGTCTTCCCAGGCATAGCAGTGAGGCTGACAGGTCAGTAGTTCCCAGGATCCTCCTTTCAACCCTTTTTTAAAATGGGTGCGATGTTTCCCTTTTTCCAGTCTCCAGGCCCTTAGCCTGACTGTCAGGACTTTTCATATATCATGGAGAGTGGCTTGGCAACTGCATCAGGCCATTCCCTCAGGACTCTGGGATGCATCTCATCAGGTCCCATAGACTTGTGCATGTTCAGGTTCCTCAGGTGGTCTTGAACCTGATCTCTTCTTACAGTGGGAGGAACTTTGCTCCTCCAGTCCTCTTCTTGCAGTCCATCCACTCGAGAGGTGTGGGAAGAGAGACCGCTAGTGAAGACTGAGGTAAAGAAGTCGCTGAGTACCTCGGCCTTCTCTGTTGTTGTTACCGGTTAGCCAGCCTTGCTCACTATGGGGAGTACACTTTTTGATCTTCCTTTTCTGGATGACATACCTGCAGAAGCCCTTCTTATTCTCTGCATCCCTTGCCAAGTCCAGCTCCAGCCATGCCTTGGCCTTCCTGACCCCATCCCTACAGAACTCTTCCCAGGATACCTGTTCCTGCTTCCACTGCCTGTGCATTTCCTTCTTACTCTTTAGTTTGCCCGGGAGCTCTCAACTCAGCCATGCTGGCCTCTTGCGTTCCTTTCCTGATTTCTTACACCTGGAGATAGAGAGCTCTTGTGCTCTTACGGAAAGCGTCCTTGAAGATCTGCCAGCTCAGTCTCTTCTCCAAACATGTTTTCCTGCATGTGTCACTGTGAGCTAACTGTGAATTGTTTGACAATGATAGATAAAAAGTGTATTGATTTCTTAGACATACTTAAATTACGACTGTTTAAGCTTCATAGATTACAGCATTAAAATTTGAGTAGCTGTTACTAAGAAGTTGATGAATTAATGTTTTTCTAGAGATGTACATGCAGTTTGCTTGTGGGATGATAAAGGTCCAGCAAAAATCCATCAGGCTCTGAAGGAAGACATCCTTGATTTTATTAAACAGGCACAAGCAGTAAGTTCTTAACGTTTCATAACTTCTATTCGTATCGTTAGAAGAATAACAAAATAGTTCTTTCATTGAATCTAAATGCATTGGTTTTTTGTTTGAAATTCTGTGATGTTCTGGAGATGATAATTACCCTGCGAACCTCTATTGACAAAAAGAGGACTTAGCCTTGAGCGTTTGACTTGCCTCATTGTTTTCCCACAGTCCTGAAACTGGGGTGGGCAATGATTTTTGTGTTACAGTAAAAAAAAACCCAAAACACAGCATTATTTTTCTTTATCCAACAGTACTTATGGAATCTTTTTCCACTTGAAAATGTCTTGAGGCAAAATTTTCTATAAGAAATTACTGTTTGGAAAAAAAAAATTGTCTAGCTTCAGTGCTATGCTGACGTGTTTATGGATGGCTTTAAAATAAGCCATATGTATGGCGTACTACAAATATCTGTGCTGTCGACTCAGCAAGCTTAGCTGTCCTGTTTTATGGGATTTCCCCAAAATGATTGAAATCATCAGTAGATTCAAAGGAAATTTTTGTGTTTGTAAAATGTATAGCAAAAGATGTTTTCTGTAATAAGGGATTTAAAGGAGGAGGTTGCTGTGAGATTAAAAAAAAAATTAAAAATCCCATGACAAAGGTTTGGAAAGGAGAATATGAAAGTCTATAAAATCTTTCTTTATTGAAGAGATTTATATGACTCAGACTTTGCTTAAAGGAAAATAGTTTCTTTTATAGGCTTTCATATAACTAGGCATATCAGTGTTGATTAACTTCCATCAGCTTGCTCACTTACATGCATAAATGCTGTACTGAACTGGGGCCTTTGATATTGTCTGCATTGGCTGTTGTTTGAAGGGCATCTTTTCAGGCACTATGATAGCCATTGTATGATGTAGTTGTAGTTGCCAGGCATTAATAAAATATACATGTTAACTAGCTGTCTGGGTCTAATGAACGTTAGTTCTGCCATTGAATTAAACTTCTCACTGTGTAGAATATAACATAGTCTGTATGGGTTTGTTTATTATTTTTTTTAGATATGGTTCTACCAGTACATGCTTTTGATCTTTTTGACTTGCAGGTGGCTTAAAAGAAAAAAAAAAAAAAAAATTTGGAAAACGTAAACTTACTGACTACTTGTTTGCTGTTACCTTTCTTTTCGCTTTAGAAATGGTCCATATGCTATGGGTTGGTAACTACTGCCCTAAATGAAATGGCACTTAAATATGTAGACTTTCGTATTCTGATATATCTGTATGTTTGAATTTTATATGGGGAGTTATTTTTAGTATAAGCAAAGGCAATCCATATTTTGTGCAGAAAATTGTTTATAAATTACCTCTTCTTCTCTGCCCTCCCCCTCCAGAGAGTCCTGAGTCATCAAGATGATACAGCTTTACTAAAAGCGTATATAGTGGAGTGGCGCAAGTTCTTCACACAGTGTGATATTTTGCCCAAGCCATTTTGTCAATTAGAGATTACTTTAATGGGCAAGCAGGGCAGCAACAAGAAGTCTAATGTAGAAGACAGTATTGTTCGAAAGGTAAGTGATAGGTATTACGAGTTTTGTTGCACGCTGTTCTGCCTACAGTAATAGTACAGAAGCTGAAGGTGAAATTGCACCAATCATGTAATAAGATGCATCACTTTCCTTCAGTGTGAGAGTCAGAACAACCCTGCAACTTTTTTTGCTCTCCACAATAATTTCACTCTGTTTCTCCAGTTTTGCTTTGGCTATTAGAAGTTTTGTTCAGGTGATGAAAACACTTCTTTGTTGGCCTTTGGGTTGGTTTGGGTTTTTGGGGTGGTTTTGTGTTTTTAATTATGACAAATCCTGGGGTCGGAGGCAGTTGTAAATTCACCTACTGTTTCTGCACTTGTGAGTAGAAGGTGTACTTAATGAGTAGTTTTTCTACTAGTTTATTTCCCTAGCCCAAGATATTAACTGGGGCACATCTCTGCATTTTATAAACGACCAATTAAGTACTATCATCTCAAGATAAATATGGCTATTGATCTCCTAATTTCCCAGTTTTCCTCCAAACTGTCAGTCATATCAATGAAAACATTGGACATGTAGAATCTTGTGAATATGATCTTTTTTACTATTTCATGTCAAACACCTAAAGAAAATCTAGGGGTTTGAGTATGCAGTGCTCAGTGTTCTGAGTCCCATGAATAATGGTCCTTGAAATTGCTTTAGTTTTTTATTACAAGAAAAACTCAGCATATCAGTTGTAAAGTGTTAAGTCCTTTAGTTTAACGTCATTCATTATCCCTTTTCATTGCAGAAAATATCTGTAGGGAAATTTCTTTAGCGTTCGTTACTGAAGATGGTTTTAACTGTCCTCCTATCTCTAGGATGGGAAGAATGAAATGGTTCGAATGCATTACTTTGGGCAAGGTGTTTTTTTTTTTTTTTTTCCTCACCCTCCTATTTTGAGGTCTGATCCTCTATACCTCTTGAAGAAAAGGAAGAGAGAACAGGAGGAAAGAGAGGAAGCACCACCTCAAGCTACTTTTTTTCTTTTCATTGTTTGTTGGAGAAAGCATGTGATCTTACTAGGCTCTCCAAGATTGGGCAAACTTGAACTCTTAACTCTGCTGTATGCAGAAGGCAGGAGAACTTAGAAATTAAATTGAAAACAAGGTGGAGTGGAGAAAGTAGTGAGGAGAAACTGGGAGAAAGAACTGGTGTCTAACAATTCAGATTTTGTTCAGGACTGAAACTGATGGAGGTCTGTCTTCTCTCTCATATGCAGTCCAGTTAGGACCATCTCATGGTTGGAACATCAAAGCCCAGAGTCCGCAACCTATCTTATTTCATAGTTGCTGCTGAAGGTTACTTCCTGTTTCTGGCATAATTTTCTGTCGTTCTCTAAAAAGTGCCTTGTGAGAACTTTTCCCATGCTTGAGAAGTTCTTCATATAATCACCCAAAATGATATGTGTGTTTTCCTTCAAATATCTCCATAAAACTTCCTTATCCACAATAAGGATATCTTATCCACAGTGTCTGAAGGGAGTTTGACCATGACAAAGCTGTTAATGTGCCTGCCAGGTTGCTTGCCTTATCTCACTGTTTTCTTCTTTTTTTTCACTCGTTTCAGCGCTTGTAAACCAATTCTGTGATTGTACAGTGCAACCATAATGTGCATATCAGTAATGTTAAAATAATGAAAAAAGTAATTGAGGAAGTGTAGTCAAATAAAGCTTTGCTTCTAAGAATGTTGCAATGTTTTTCAACAATAGTTCCCTTCCAACACATATGACTTCAGTGTCAAAAATGAAAATTTAGCTGTAATTGAGACACAGTTATGGAGAAATTAAGAACAAAGGATGGTAAACTTAACTGCCTGGAAAGGATATCTGACTTTTTTTTAGGTGCTTGTTGTATTAAAATCTAAAACTTACAAAGCAAGAATAGAATAAGACCATCTAATCTTTACTATTAACTTTGCCATACAACTGTGTCAAGTCATCCTGAGCTCACTTTTAGTAAGCTTATTCACAATCATGAGGTAGAGTTTGAATTGGTAAATTTTATGATTCCAGCCTGCTTTCCACTGGCAGTGTAGACTGACAATTGTCATCTTTAAATTACAATCATAGCAGTTACTGTCAAATTTGAAGATACCGTAAGTTTGAGATTTCTTCTAAAGCAATGAAATGGCATGAGTTGTACAGAAACAATAAAAGTTATCTTTTAAGCTTTGGCATAATGAAATTAGGTATTCAGTGTCATATAGAAAGAGCCAGATCCAGTGTCAAAAGGAAAAAAAAAAAAAATTTACCACAGTAACTTGAATTCTAAAGCAAATCTAACATTTTTAACAAACATGTAGTGTGCTTTGAGTATTTACTACTGAAACAGGTGATGGAGCTTAGGTGGGCATAAGTATGGCCTGGCCTACCAGTGAGCTTTTCGTGTAGCTCAGCTGCAGGGACTGGTGATCAGGTGTAATGCAATACATTTGCAGGAGTGTCAGTAGCAATCACAGAAAAACCCCTAATAAAAATCACACAATGGAATATGAAGGGACCTTTTGAGTGATGAGGATTTTGTTAGGAGCCTCCATAGGTTTTTCTTTAAATTTTAAAACTTTTCAGTGCTTAGATGAGGTTTGGACTCCTTTATAAATTATATGTGCATTACTTGCATGTTAAATGTGTTGGATAAATCCAAAACCATCAGGTTTTTTCTCTACATAATTGTGGTGTTAATTGAGTTTTTGGGTTTGTTCAAGACTGAGCTTGCCAAGTAGTGAACTATATTTGGATGTTTGGCTCAAGAGTACCACCTGAAATTGCAACTCCTGACACATTGCATTGCTGGGAAAGTTATTTGGCTGATTACTGAGAACTGTAGTAATAATACAGAATTACGGAATTAATGTATGAATCAAATACTGCTTCCCCTAGCTGTCCAGTTCCATAAAGTAAGCTTAGAATGTAAGCTGAATATTACTTCTATAGCAAGTTCAGCGCAAGGTGAAGTTCTAAGGTAGTTGAATGGCTGTATATAACCTGAAAATTACAGTGTAAATTGTTTGATTTCTGTTTCTGATATCTTTTCTTTTGCACAAACTTAGGTCTGAGTGTATCTTTCTGACAGGATTTTTTTTTCTTCCTGATACACAGCTCATGCTAGATACATGGAATGAATCCATATTTTCAAACATAAAAAACAGACTTCAGGACAGTGCAATGAAGCTAGTTCATGCTGAAAGACTAGGAGAAGCTTTCGACTCTCAGCTTGTTATTGGAGTTCGAGAATCATATGGTATGTCTTGCACAGACTTCCGTTGCCTCCTCACTTTAGTAAATGGATTTTCGTTATACAAAGTTGACAATTGTGGTGGTAGGGTTGCAGTGATTATCTCAGCATTTTGTACTGTTTTTTTTGTTGTTGTTGATATGTGATACCAATTAAATTCTGTTTAAAATCTTTAACTTCTAAGTGATTTAGCTATGTATTAGTTACTGCAAAATCAGCGTTTTCAAAGAGCAAACTACTTTTTGACCTTTTAGAGTTGCAGATATAACCTTATGTCTGTGCTTCTTTCTGTACCATTTCTGATTCTTCAGATAGTTTGAAGAAGAAATGCTAAACAGGCTGCATGTAAGACTCCCAATCTTTTTCTTTGCAAAACAGATCTGTGTATCTGAAACTGCTATGATATTTCACCATTACCTGCCTTTTCTTCAAAGCTCTGCAGCCTGTTGAATTATTTGGGATAATATTCTCTCAGATGGCTTTATAGATGTCCAATTCTAAATTTTTTTAAAGTGTATTCCATTTAAGGAATTTATTTATTTATGTATTTCACTGTAACAGTGGAAGATGGAAACTTTTTTCCAAATAGTGCAAAGCACTGCTGAGTTGCAGTAAGCTCACTGTCTCCATTCTTGTAAAACAGAAAAAAAACAATGCAAAAAAAAGTGTCTAAAATGAAGACATTGAGGTTCTAAGAACAGTGTCTATGAAAAGCTGTTTTCTCAGTCAGGTGGACAGGTTTTCAATTTATTAGGCATTATGCTGAGCTTTTTGTTTGTGTTTTTTTTTTTTCTTTTCTCTTCTTTCCAATTTTGCAATTGTATGTGTATTTCTGTTTACCATGTTTGAATGTCTAAAATGCTGGAGATAGGTATGCAGTTCCTTCCAGTTCCCTATAGTTAATTTAAATGTTTTTGGAGCAAAGACTGGAAAATTTTGGTTACCTTTAGGGATCAGAGTGATTTTATAGGATACTTCAAATTGTTCAATGCAATCTTTTAATACAAGACTCACTTTATGAGAGAGATCTGTGTATTATTAGCCACTTAAGTTTCCAAGACTTGAGAGTAAGTTTGGACTTTCTCTTTGCAGTTAACCTTTGTTCTAATCCTGAAGATAAACTTCAGATATATCGGGATAACTTTGAAAAGGCATATTTGGATTCAACAGAGAGATTTTATAGAACACAGGCTCCTTCTTATTTACAACAAAATGGTGTACAGAATTATATGAAATATGTAAGTAAATACTCTGTTGTTACTTTTTTCTGAAAGTGTTAGTACTTAAAATGATTGCTGTTCTACTTTTGCACAGGCAGATGCTAAACTAAAAGAAGAAGAGAAAAGAGCACTACGGTATTTAGAAACAAGGCGTGAATGTAACTCTGTAGAAGCAGTAAGTATAAGATTTAGAAAATTTGATATATTTTGTATTTATATTATTACATTGCAGTTTCTATTTTTGTGTGTGTTACAGTATTATTTGGTAGCACTAGATTCATACGAAACTGCTGATTTTGTGTTGTTTAATCATTCATTATATTTTTTTTCTTGCAAAAATGCGTATTCCTTTCCAATCTGGCAATTTATAATTTCTACAGATGTTTTAATAGTAAATGTAGATCAAAGTTCAGATTGAAGGGCAGGCTTTTATTCAAGTTGATTTTTATTCTTTCATTTTGAGTCAGGTGTGGGTTTGTTTTTTTTTTTTTCTATGCTTAACAATGGATGAGAATGATGTTTGAAAGTAAGCTGGCCAATCTAGTAGGTAGAGGGTTTCTCAGTGCTCATTTAGAATATCTGCAATAGTTATTGTTCATTGCAATTAAAGGGAGCAATAGAAATTTCATTAAAACTGTTCTAGATTTTCTCTTAGGCTGAAATATGGCCATGTGATGTAAAAGATGTTTTTTCTTTTTTCCCTGCCTGTCTCCCCCCACCCCCACCCCCTGCCCCCTTGAGCAATAGTTTACACAGTTCAGGTTCTGGAGGAAGATTTAACTGCAATGAATAGTTCATAATTGTCTCTGCTGAAATTAGTTCAGAAAACAGGTTATTAAAAAAAAAATACCGTTTAAATCTGAATTTTCTGTAGTGGATCAAAATGTATTTTATGTCTTTTGTTAAGTTGTAAATCATTCATTTTGCACAGCTATAAATTGTGACCCATATAAAAGAGAGATGGTCCTGTCATGTACAAGCAGTTTCTGTTCTAGATCTAGCCATAGTGTCTTGTTTAAGCCAACCAGCCTGGTCCAAATAGGGTATGCTGGAATGAGAACTATTCTTAGCTCTTGGATGTATACTTGGTAACTAAGTAGGGTAGTTGGTGTTCCAAAAGTGATGGCTCCCTTGAGAGTAAAGAGGCGACAGAAATATTAAGCTTATTACTGGTTTGGAAGAGAGTTTACCACATTTACTAACCTACACATTTTGAAGAAATACGGTTTCCTGTATAGATTTTAACCGAACTACACATACTTTTATGAATCAATGAATGAATTAATTATTTTATAGAGCATAGTTGTTGAGAACAGGCTAGATTTTGTGTCACAGCAAACTTGAGACAGACCAGACTTTGGTGTTCAGATGGCTAAATGAGCTAATTCTGTGTTTAATATATTTCAGCTAATGGAGTGCTGCGTCAATGCCCTGGTGACATCTTTTAAAGAGACTATTTTAGCTGAATGCCAAGGCATGATCAAACGAAATGAAACAGAAAGTAAGTGAAGCTTCAAGAACAGTGCAGGATGAACTCCGCATCAACTGCATAAAAATAGATCTGTTCGTAGATATATCAAATTACTGTTTTTAATAGATGGTGGTAGTGTTTCATACATAAAATATTGCTCTATGTGGGCAATTTTATTTGACAAAAAAATGACCATGATTGTTTTTTTTATGTCGCTTCTGAAATCTGTATGTACAATACCTTCATTTGAATAACCGGATAGCTCTCACCTTACATAAAAGAAAAGAACATTTTGTGCTCTGTTTTCTTTATTTTTCTACAATCTGTTTTCCTTATGTTGAGCGACTCTGGTAAACGTTACATGTGTCTTATTTTCTATTTGAACAGTTCAGATACAAACACCCCCCTTCATTCCACCCCCAGTACCCCCTTCCCCCTGGAAAAAAAGTTAAGCATCTCTTTATAAAGCTGTTTTTCTGAAAAGCAGGGAGAAATTTTTCTTATTCTGATTGTTGGTGCAGGACCAATTGGTCAATGAATAAAATCTCTGCAAGTTTTTCAGCAGGTTTTATAGCCAGTATCTCACTGTGAGTATTGAAAGTTAGCTCTGCATGCCTTTTTAAAGTTTTCAAAAGTTTTGTTTTTAACTCTGCTGCCATAAATTGAGAGGTTAGTGTGATTGAAAAGTCTTGTATTGGTCCTGTATTATAAACCAAACTAGGTGTGTCATTAAAATGTTATACTTCAAGTGGCAAAATTGAAAAAAAATAAAAGCTGAAATCACAAGTTAATTTTTTGAAGTTTCAGTGTCCTGCAGCCAGGGAATATTTACTAATGTCTATATGAAATTTTCATTTCTATGCAAATGTGAAAACTGATTTATGACTTAGAACAGTGTAGAAAATAGTCACTTCTAAAGCTAGCATTTCAGAAAATATTTGACCTCGAAACTATGTCATACTGATCTGTTCATCTAGTAGCATGATTTCTGGCAGTAGTCCAGAGCTAAATCTAGAAAGCCACCAAACTTTTTATGAGTATATGTTACAGCCTTTGGGAGAATACAGAAGGCTTATTTAAATGCAGAGCTTCAGAAGGGTTCATCTATAGCATCCAAAGCTTCTTTCTTTAGAAACTTGTTGAAGTATTCACACAGTCCTCTCTTTCGTTGTGGCTATATCTGCCCCGTGATACCGCTTGATTGCAAAATACTTCTGTTTAGTATATAAGAACTCAAGCATCTCTTTCAATTTTTTTTTCCCCGTAGACCTGCCTGTGCTGTTTAAAATGTTTAATGAAGGATGCAGGTGCAGATGATTAAAAAATTATTTAAAGACTATATAAATAGCTGTACATAGTAATATATACACTTGATAGTATCCTCTGCTGTACTTCATTTATGCACATGTCTTTCTGCTATTATTTGCCCCAAAGGATTTCATGATGGTTTCTTTATTAAACAGCATCTGACAAAAAGGGGCTGGATTTTTTGGTTATGAGCTGGGCACTGCTGTAAAATACTCTGTTATGTTAAGAACTTAAATGCATATTTACATGCTGTGCAAAAGAAGGCAGGCACGTTTTCCAACTAAGAACTATCACAGATGTCGTAACTTGCAAATGCTCTTCAGAATTGTTTTAGTGTCTTTTTGTTTGCTTATGTTATTGGGGATGGGAGGCCTAAATTTTATTCTTGAAGTACTTCATAACAGAAATAAAAAGCAAAGTTGGCTTTTGTGAATACAAAATGAAAACAGAACTAGTTTAAGTGCCCCAGCAACTACAATGTGGTTTTATTTACCTTTCAGTGTCATAATGTATTCTGATAGAAATTCCAGTGAAATCTGTCTTTGAAGAATTTGGTTTTTTTCCGGTTCCTACGGTTTTAGGGGTGCAGCTGAAGTCTTCCTTTGCCACCATTTATTAGGAGAAACCACTGAATTTTTTTTCTTGAATTATTCATGCCACCACAAGTTCCCAGAAACAGATGCAGAACCCTTTTATATATTTTTTTGTTTCCCTTTTTCTGCCATCTCTGTGTCTCACCTTTTTTTTTTTTTTTTTTAAAGTACAGATGAAAAGATCCAGTAAAAGTTGAGTGAGCTTTTTGGACTTACCCTAAGTAAGTGCTGCCATCACTTAGAGTAAGTCTAAATTGCACTGAGAATACCTATGACTTCTTTTGTTTTGTTTTGGTTTTTTGTTTTTTTTTGTTCCTGAAATCCCATTGTCTAGCCCATTTTGACTTGTCTCTAGTAGCATTGCAAGTTCTTGTTGAAAGTTGTTGGTAGTTTCCATTCTTTAATTTGAATTGTTATGTTCTAAAAGGATTTTTTGCTTCTCTGTGCATTGCTTTTCTGTTTGGTTCTGCGATGGTTGTTGGGATACAGAAGTTGAAACATTTATTTCATCTTCAGTGATGGATCTTACAGATGTCTGATAAAAGTATTGCAGAGGAGAAAACAAAGACAGGGCCTCCAGCTTTTTTCCCCTTTCACAGTAGATGTGAGGAACTAAGCAAATCTATCAATGTTTTTTCTATCAAAAAAAGAATCAGAGTTCATGATCAATTTGTTCTGCTTCATTAAGTAGAGTCATTTGCTGTGTTTAGTTCAAATCTCTGTTGTCTCTGAAACAATCTGGTGGCCTTAATCCAGGTTGTTCCTTTGTGGATAGCTTTGTCAAGATGATTACTGATGTTTCAGTACCTTTTTTTTTTTTTAAGCAGTGTTGAGATACCAGTTCAAAAACGTTTTGTGAAGGTAACTTTCAGAAGAACTAAATAAACTCTTTGGGAGAACAGAAAGGAAAAAATGCTGTTTACATTAGTCAGTTTTGGTTACTCTATAATTTGGCGTGCTTTGAATTAAAACAAAACTTTGTAGATAGTATTGGAAGATAAACAGAGACAGCTCTGTTTGGCTTTATTTAAAAAAAAATTTTGAATCCATACAATTTCCTGCATAAACTCCTGTAGGCTTCCAACTGAGAGAGACACATTTTTTGCTAGGGATTTTAAGGCAGTTATACTGAGAACCTAGACTTAATCCAAATTGCCATTGACTTTAGGGGGTTTTATTCAAGCTTGTGATATTATATGTATAAGCAAGTATTACGTTGCAATAAATATCTCTTTATGCCTTCAGAAGAATCTCCTCGTGGGACCAGAATTAGAGCAGTATTCAAAACATTTTTCCTTTTAAGGGATGAATTGGATTACCTGTTCGTTACATATTCAGTGTTCCACTTGAGATATCCCTAGCAGAAATGCAGTATATTTGGGCTTTATTCATGTCTTTGACTGGTGGCTTTATCAGTGTTTGTATCTTTCAGAGTTGCATTTAATGTTTTCACTGATGGATAAAGTCCCAAATGGCATAGAGCCTATGCTAAAAGACTTGGAAGAACATATTGTTAGTGCTGGACTCGCAGATATGGTAGCAGCTGCTGAAACTATTACTACTGTAAGTGTATTGTTTTTTAATAAAATAACAATGAAAAAAACAACTTTACAGAAGTTAAATACTCTCTAATTGTGGGACATACATGTGAATAGAAATCATTTTTTAAAATCTTATGTTTAAATATTAAATTTTGATCCACTAAAAGTTTTAATTGTCTTTAGAGTAATTTTTTTTATTCCTTACATTTTCAGTTGTAGCTTTAAAACATGAACCCAATTTGCAGTAAAGATGGTAAATTAAGTGCATGGGATGCTTACATGGTAGGATTGTGTTAGCATCTTAATGAAAAAGGCATAATCAGTTTTTTCAAAATTCTGACTTCCTCATTTGAAATTTGAAATTTGCTTTCAATCTAAGAGTGATTGTTCAGTGTGGATATTAAAAGTTTTTTTCCTGCTGTTCTTTTTCAGCTTTTTATCATCTTTTTCCCTGGGTCTAGGAGGCCTGAGTATGTGTAGCAATTAGGATGTGCCTTTTATTGGTCCTTGAAAACTTTTTTTATTTAAAAGTTACTATACAGTAGTTGAAAGTTAGATTTTTTTTTTATTTATATATATATGCGTGTATACTGGAAATACTATCCTGAAAGTCTGTGTTGAGGCATACATGCAGTAGAGCTCTTCAGACAGAGAATAAAGATAAAATGCTCATTCATAGTATGCAGGCTTGAGGATACTACATTATTACAGATTAGGGAATTACATGTAAGTTCACACTGAATTCTGTGGAGCCTCATTTTTTTTATTTGAATTTCGCCTCTCTAGGATTCTGAGAAATACGTAGAGCAATTGCTTACGCTATTTAATCGATTTAGTAAATTGGTTAAAGAAGCTTTTCAAGATGATCCAAGATTTCTTACTGCAAGAGATAAGGTATGTGTTTCTGTGGATCATTTGTTTTCAGTTGAAGAATTGTTGTAGTTCATATTATTATGTTTCTGAAATCCTTGTGCCCATTCACTGCTAAATCTAGAAGCTGCTCTTACTCTGGTAAATATGCAGACTAAAATGTTGATGAAACTTACTATCAACTGATTAGCTTTTTACTTGTGTTGTAGTCATGCATAAGGTTGCATTTGTTGTTCAGCTGTATAAAGTTGTAGAGCACATCAGTAGATGATCTTTGTGTTGAGCACCTTAATGTCTGATTTAGCAACATATTTATGTTTAGAATTTACTAGATATTTGGGTGTAGTCTCATGACTTCAGATGTGCAACCTGCTCCACGCAATTCCTTCTGAATTTGTTGCTTGAAGGAGGGTAGCATGTTAATGAAAAAGAGGAAAATGCAAGATACCAGTTAATGGGTAATTGAGTCATTGGATTTCAACCCTGATGTTGGAATCAAATTTGCTAACTTTGGGCTCATAAAAAAAAAAAGGATTAATTACATGTTACAGTACTCTAAAAAAAGAGATAAAACCTTTGTGAGTCATATGTTAAAGAGAGAAACTGAGTGAGGCACTAATAATCTGTAATTATTTTTCAGGCATACAAAGCAGTTGTGAATGATGCTACAATATTTAAACTTGAATTGCCATTGAAGCAAAAGGGGTAAGCCATATAAACTTTATGTGAATTAAGATTTTTAAATTATTAAAGATTGAGCTTCTCTTCTAAAAATCTCTTCAAAAAGTAACACTGTTTAAAAGTGCTTCGTTTTCTTTGAATTATGGAATTTCAGATTGCTTATCAATCTCTGGCGAGACACTCTTCGCATGGCAGTGGATCAGTGAATAGCAGCCTGTTTAAACTCAAATTTATTTGTAGAGTTGGGGATCTATTTTGTTAAAGTAATAAGTCAATTTGTTAGCTGAATTTAATAACACCTTCCTGGGTTATTAATTCCAAAAACCTGAGCTGTATAACTCTGCTGCAACTTAAGTAAAAGTCCTGGGGAAAACTAAGGCAGTAATCTTTATGGGAATAACTGTGGCTGATCAAGGTGTAACCATCCACAAGCTGTTTACCACCTTCTCTTGTGCCAGCTGTGAGTGTGACCTGTCTGGGTATTACATCTTTGTTTCAGTGCAAGAATAACCAGGTTAGTCTAAACAACTCCCAATAGATTAAGCAGACCTGTTTGACTCAAGAAGAAAAACCATGCTTACAGTAGCCACTCTGCTAACTCAGTCAAGAGAAGGTAGCAGTCAGATAATTGATTAACATTTAACATGTGATGTGCCACTTGAGTAGGAATCTGTATATATTTAGGTGGTTGGGATTGCTTATATATAGTTTGTAATCTTATTTACTATGGAAACAAAACTTACATAGCTGGGCTGCCAGCTTCCCTTTCCCATTATTTCTTGTTAGAGGTGGATGGGTATAAATATCTGTTTAGCATTCTGGTTCTTACTCTGCATTTGGTTTTGGACTAATGATAAGCCTGGACAGGGATTAGCCTTGCTGTTTTTATGTTATTGGAGGAACACCTTCACAAAAGACTGGATCTGTGCTTTGTATACTTTGTACAGATGTAGGCAAGGTAGAGGAGTTTTTTAGATCTCTGCTAATGTTTTCATTTCCCCTGGAAGCACCCAAATCAATACCTCATTCAAACTGTGTTTCACTCCTAAAACTAAACCTGCCTAAATGATTTCTTAGAAACCACCATGATGGCAATGGTCTTCAGCATTCTTCTTCCCAAGCTCTCTCAAGTTGTCTACATACACAGCCTGGTTTAAGTAAAATGGAACTTCATCCTGCTTAACTTGTGCCCTTAAGTTCAGCGTAAGAATATGGAATTTGGTAATTTTTCATTGCTGTCAGGATATTGAAGACTCTTGTTCACAAATATCTGGGAACACATGGATAAAGTAAGGGTTCTGTCTTGTAATAACCAAAAGACTAGCGATCTGCTTTTACTTCAAATAGCTTTTAGGATGGCAGAAGATGCTAACCTGCAAGCTGCTTCATGAGTTAAAAAGGGCAAGTTGTCTGAAGAGTTTTAGCACTGTCTACACTAGTTGATGAGGGCGTGAGAGAATGAGCAAGAATACTGGATTCCTGAGCATCCCCCCAGCTTCTTACCTGCTATCTTACTCACTGCCCTTTCAGCCCTTGAGACTAGAAATCAAGTTGGTGCCATCTGACTTTAGAAATAGGGTTTGGTCCTTGGCACTATTTTATTCACCAGTCTAGGCACAGATTCAGAATGTGTCCTTGTGCTTGCATGCCTTTTGAAGAACCACAATCTCTCTACTGTAGCATCTTCAACTTTCATCTGCTTTAATCTCCAAGCTGTTAGTCCACTATTTATACCTTTTATAATTTTATCCTGTTACTCTGCAATAGATGTGTTGGGTTTTGTAGTTTGTGAAATGCAGGACAGGAGGCTGTTCTTGAGACTTTCATTAGAGCATACTGACCAGATGAGTGAAACATTTCACTGCAGCATTTGTTAATTCTTTACTGGAATACTTATTGCCATGCAATATTTAGTTCTTTCAAACTGTAGTTTGAATGTAATCCTTCATTGCTAGAGTTCTAAAATTAAAAGCAGTTGGAATGATCAAGCTGTAGAAGCTGTCTGAAAATGTTTGGTGGTATTTATTCTTTCAAGAAGAAAAGGAAGTTATCCCTAATTTATCATTAGTTTAACAAGATATGAATTCACTGCCAGGATCCTTGCTGAGGGGATCAGGAAAAAGTGGTCCATCTTGTTAACAGTGTGACTACGCCAGAATTGCAGGATTCTGTATGGTTTGAAGATGTGTTGTTCTTTTGTTTAGCGTTGGATTGAAAACACAGCCTGAATCCAAATGCCCTGAGCTTCTTGCTAATTACTGTGACATGTTGCTAAGAAAAACACCACTAAGCAAAAAACTAACCTCTGAAGAAATTGAAGCAAAGCTTAAAGAAGTGGTATGTTTTTGATTTCTACTTCTCGATTGTTCTGAAGAATTAATTTGTTTTATTTCCCTATGTGGGTCGAGGCCTTGATCTTCAAAAACAGTTATGCAAGGTGTAATAGGGAAAAGAGTTTATTATGTCATCAAGTGTGTGTTTAAATCTTGTAAACCATGCAGTGTTTCATGTCTTTTGTGTCAGTTCACAAAATCAGTATGCCAAATTAATGCCTGTATCAGATTAATGTATTACAGCAACTAATACTAGTCTAGAAAATAATACAGGACATTTTTATATACCGGTGTCAATGCCTTTTCTGATTTAAGAGAAAGTTCTTGATGGTTGACAAATTAAGAAATTGGAGGTGTGATACTATGAAAGATTCATAGTGATAGTGCTTGTGATAGTGGTAACACAATTGCTCTTAAGGCAATGTCAAGTAGCCTTTTTCTACTTCATAGTCTGCAGTAGCTTTAGGTCAGCATTCAAAGACTTGTCTGATTGACAGTGCAAATAAATATATTAAAATCTGTTTTTTTGACAGCTTTTGGTACTTAAATATGTACAGAATAAAGATGTTTTCATGCGATATCACAAAGCTCACTTAACAAGACGCCTGATATTAGATATATCAGCTGATAGTGAAATTGAGGAGAATATGGTGGAATGGCTCAGAGTAAGTAGTCTGACATCTTTCTTTCTTTGGTTGTGCCTCTTGCTTGTGGTATTAATTCCCACCCTTGAACTTAGCTAGCCTTCTTGTTTAAGTGAGTTCTATCTTAAATTGCAGGCTGCTCAGGACTTCCGTTTTATTGCAATGCTTTGTGCAAGTAGAGCAGTTTAGCTCTTTTTCGAAGAGGAATGTTGATCCTAATAGTGGTAGCGATAGATTTTAAAATACTTCACATATGATTATCTGAAGGCTTCGTATATTCCATATGCAAATGAGCAAATGCAGTGTACTTGTTTAGGTATGTAAATAATTTGAGATGTGTTCTAATTGTGAAATTTTATGTACATTAGAATATTATTTGCATGCCTTAAATATTCCTTCAAATCTCAAAATTCATTGATTCCTTAATGCATGCGTATGTTCTTCAGTACTTGGATTTCTTTAAAAGAATCATCATGTGCCGTTAAAGGGTAGCTACTTATGATCCATGCAAAAAAACTTTATATTACATTGCAGAGTAGCTATTACTGTAAAGTGATCATACTTGTGTACTTTAATGCTCTTCATTTTTTTGAGTTTATTATTTTAAAAATTAAGCTTTTTGTTCATAGTTGTCTATGTCATAGTTTAGTGTTCTGTTTGTTTATACAGGAAGTAGGAATGCCAGCAGACTATGTAAACAAGCTGGCTAGAATGTTCCAGGATATCAAAGTGTCTGAAGACTTGAACCAGGCCTTCAAAGAAATGCACAAAAATAATAAACTTGCTTTACCAGGTATTGTTTTCAAATGACTTGCTATTTTTAATTTCTTGTAGTGAAAAATAATTCTGTTGAATCTTGAGTTAAAAATTCGATCAACTGCAGGTTGAACATAGTCTTCAGGGCATTGTTACCCCTAGATTGGAAGTGTCTGTAGCTTGTGCTTTCTCTTACAGTTGACACTGGAGCTATATCATTCTGTAAGTTATTGTGGTTTTTCATAATGAGCAGTCTTGTTAATGCAGTTTCCTTAGTCTTGTAGCTAAATTCCAAGTAGGGGCTTGAATTGGTTATCAACCAGGTGAATGCCTGAACTACCCCTTCTTTTACGCCCTCAGCATTCTTGATGAGTGCTTCAGGCTGTCCTCCTTTACCTGCCAGTAGGAGAGCTGGATGCATGCTATTAAGAGCTTAAATCATGTTTCTGAGATGAAATTTCACTGATGAGGGAGGCTGAGGAACATCCAGTTTTGGACCTGCTACTGCTGAAAACCCTTTAGTGCTTGCAGCTTTATAACTGATACTTGTATCAGAGTTTAAGGAGCTCTGCAGAGACAAGCCAAAAAACCCAGAGATTTCAATCAGTGTTGCTGGCAGAAAGCCAGTGCTGCATAAATAGAGTACCTCAGTGTTCAAGTAGGTAGACACCCTGCTACTTTCTGAAAATTCAGTCCTCCATAATTGTATGTAGAGTAGGGAAAAAAATACATTTTGTTTATCTATCTGTTATACCTGGAGATTCATATAATACAATATTATCTTATAGCTGACTCTGTGAATATTAAAATTTTAAATGCTGGCGCCTGGTCCCGAAGTTCTGAAAAAGTGTTTGTCTCACTGCCCACGGAATTAGAAGATCTCATCCCAGAAGTTGAAGAATTTTATAAAAAGAATCACAGTGGTAGAAAACTGCACTGGCACCACCTCATGTCCAATGGAATTGTAAGCATATAGTTTTCAATGTATCAATCTCAGTGACTGTACTTTCTGTGTATTTATAGTAGTAAGAAAACTTGTGATCCAGAAAGGCTTGTAAGTAAAATTGTCATTCTATTCACAGATAACATTTAAGAACGAGGTTGGCCAGTATGACTTGGAGGTAACAACATTTCAGCTAGCTGTGCTGTTTGCGTGGAACCAAAGACCCAGAGAGAAGATCAGCTTTGAAAATCTTAAACTGGCAACTGAACTCCCTGATGCAGAACTTAGGAGGACTTTATGGGTATTTCCCTTTCTCTTGAAACAGATATCTTCTTGGGTTTTGTACTCTGAAATACTGGATTAGTATTTTTAAAGTGCTGTCAGATAACACTTTGAAACTGAAATGTGAACGCCTTTCTTACTAATTAATCAGTCATAAATCTGGCTCCTTGCACTACTGTTAAGCACACACAGCCTTTGCATTAACACGTTCTCTCTACCCAATATTATCTAACTTAAGCTTTGGAAACAGCAAGATCTTTTTGACTATATGCTGCCTAAAGCACACAGTTATGATTGTGGTTTGTGGAGTGGGACTGGTCTAATTCTAGGAAATCAGTGGCACCTGATAAATACATGTTGCTTAAAAATAACTTCAGTGTTTGCTCTATCAGACTCTTAATTATTTAGCTCAAGAATAAAGAGAAAAATCACGTAAATCAGACTTAACACCGCTTCTGTAGCTGTGAATTCGTGCATTTTACTTCTCTGTATGATTTTACTTACACTAACCCGGAGATTTGGTAAACTGTCCCCCTTTCTCTGGTTTTAATAGTATCTTTGTGTTGCCCTCTAGCAGCTCCAAACAAGGCTACGTGGTTCCCTATAGTCTGCACAGTGGTGAACTATGTTCTTAAAAAGTAATTGTTTCCATTTAGAAAGTCTGGTGTTTTATTTTCATTCTTTCTCCCCCCCTTTTCTCCGTAGTCTCTTGTAGCATTTCCAAAGCTGAAACGTCAGGTTTTATTGTATGAACCTCAAGTCAATTCACCCAAAGACTTTACAGAAGGAACCCTCTTCTCGGTGAACCAGGAGTTCAGTTTAATGTAAGATGATGTTTGAAAAGTAAAATAACCATGTACTATTTTATAACTAAAGTAATTCACTTTAAGTTAACCTTCATCCTTGAAAGTTTTCAAGATTCAGCTAGACACATGCTTAGCTGCCCTATCCTCGCTTAGTTTTGGTGATAGTCATGCTACCAGTAGGTGGTTAGACTATACAACCTCCAGCAGCCCCTTCAGACAAATGTTTCTATGATTCTGATTTCTGTGAAATTAAATTTCTGAAACACCTAGGGATGAGGTGCAAAATTGGAGGCTTTGCTATCTTCCTCTTACTAATGAGCCCATGAAATATCATATAGGAAGTACAGCATGTAAGCAGAGTACTAGTGTTGTATTGATTATTAAACACACATGGAGTTTCAAAAGCAGAGTGATAAGTTAAAAAAGGAAGTGAAACTGCTTATTAATACGGTATCCTGTCAACAGATGGGATTTTTGGCGTGGCTTTCACCAGAGAGGAGTGTCTTTACTTCAGTGAGAATTGCAGCGCTCTTTCACTGGTGCTTTGAAATCCTTCAAAGCATAAGATACTATCAAGAGAGAATATCTAAATGGTATATACCACATTCAGCATGTTTTCCTTTTGGTTTTTGCCACTCTCTTAACAATTACTATGATTAGAATTGGCTCTTTGCTAGTAACCTCAGATTCTGGGCCTCATTCTCAGTAGCAGCTGGACATCTGGATCTGTAGAGAGAGAGGGAGGTGACAAATCTGCTCTCCTGGGGCTTAGTTTCTTGCCCAGGGCCATGATGTTTGTTCCTGTCATCAGGATCATGAGCTTTGGGAAGTGATGAGAGGGCATTACAGAAGAGACAGGCTGTACAGAAAGTTTGTGGGTGACCACTGATGAATGCCATCAACTTTCTTTTATTTGTCCTTTTTTCTGCTAGACAGACATTTCTTTTGATGGAAAATGAATTAGTCCAATTTCCTGAACTTTGTTGTAAAAACTTCTTCTAAAGAACCCTAGTTTTATGTCATCAAACTGAAATATATTTCTCTGAAATTTTATTCTTTAAAATAGTACTGATAACTTTCCAACTTTGGACACCGTCAGTTTCAGATGATGGATTTTTCTTTTTTGTAATGCTAGTATATTCAGGTTTTATTGTGCGGAGACATTGGCATTGAGTTTCGATTTGTCAGCCACCTATCTCACCACTGCAATGCTAATAGCCTATAAATATCTGATATGTGATGGTACTCCTTGCTGCTGTAATTTAAGTTTAACAGGAATTCCTTAATTGGAAATGTGTTTTTTGCTTATTTTCATACAATACAACTTTTTCAGAAAAAATGCTAAAGTTCAGAAAAGGGGCAAGATAAATTTGATTGGTCGGTTGCAACTTACTACGGAGAGAATGCGGGAAGAGGAAAATGAAGGAATAGTCCAGCTAAGAATATTACGAACCCAGGCAAGTAAACTGCCAGAGGAATATAAAGTTACCCTATTTCTTTTGTTGTATTATCACTACTGCATGCTGTCCACATTTGGATGTTGATGTATAAAATGGATGCTTTTGAAACCCATTGGAACTACATTTGCTATTTGGCTTAAAATGTTTGCATGTGTGTTTGTGCACTTGCAGTTATCGACCTCCTGTTCTGATGTACCAGGCCATCATTTTTAAAGAGGATATTAAGCAAGCGGTGAAAGTATAACTGTGTAGTGATGGGTGGCAGCAGATGGTAAAGTTGATTGACTTGAGCCACCAAAATGAAAAAACAGTATTGTTGATCTTGAGGTCTCTTTGACTGCTCCGTATGGAGAGAGTAGAGTAATCTCAGTGATGGGATCATGCCATATTATAATAGCAGTATGACTTTTTGAGAGGCCTTATCTTTAGAGGGGAAGTTTATAAGGACATCTTAGATGTACAAACTGCAGCTTGTGCTTTGGTTGTCCTTCAGTCAGGTACTCATGTCAAATCTTTTGAGCTGACAGTCCTAAAAAAAACTGAATTTTTTCAGGCATTGGAGATCATTACCTACAATGGAGTCTCAAAAATCCCATCTTACCTTCAAATTGCAGGTGTCTTCTATCAGTCAGGTTAGATTCAAGGCCATGCACATTGGCCATACTTCCAGCAGAAGGATTAATGCCTGGTTGCATTTATGAAATGAGGACTCCTTGTGAGTTCCAATTTGACATTAAGTTTGCATTTCATGAGGTATTCACAAGGTATATCACAAGTCACCCTGGAAATGGTGACTTCTGCTCAGAGAGCTTATGAACTTCAGGTTTTAGTGAGTAATTCACGCTCTAGATACAAGATTTAACTGCAGATTCTCCTTTGACTGGACTTGTCTTCCATCTCTTGCATCTTGCCAGCTCTTCATTCTTTTCCATTATCAACTTCTTTGTAAGAGCAGTTTAGTATCTACTTAGGCTAAGAAATGCAGCATATATCTGATTTTTGAAGAAAAATACAGATTTCCATGCTATCTTGCCTTACCAGGAGCTCCCTATTAATGCTGTGTTCACTTTGTCACTTCACCCAGGCATTTCAGAAAAATTAATTTTTCTTTCTCTTGTCCCCCACCAGGAGGCTATCATCCAAATAATGAAAATGCGAAAGAAAATTACGAATGCCCAGCTTCAGACTGAACTGGTAGAAATATTGAAAAACATGTTCTTGCCACAAAAGAAAATGATAAAAGAGCAAATTGAATGGCTTATAGAGCACAAATATATCAGAAGAGATGAGTCGGATATCAACACCTTCATATACATGGCATAATTCGAGGACTCTGCAGGATGCTGAGCACATAAATGGAAGGGTGCTTGGACAGCTGCAACAGTTTGTGCTGCAGAAGGACTTGTTTTGACTTTCGTTACGTATTAAAATCCCTGCCTTACCTTACAGAGGACTATATTTTGCCAATCTTATTCAGCTAGCATGATGGCATTCCCTTCATGTTGCACACTTTTAACAGCATGCTGTTTTGTGGGAAACTTGCATTCATGAAGAGCCCATTGTGAACTTTTTAAAGTAGATTTGATTTACACCCACCAGGAAGAATACAGGTTTGGGTTTTTAGATGACCAGTACTTGCACAAGGAAAAAATACTCAAATATTCATGCACTGAGGAACTGCTATTAGTTTTGTTTTGGGTTTGGTTTGGGGGTTTTTTGGTTGTTTTTTTTAAAATGCAATTAGGACTAGAAGTAGCACTTTCACTTTTGTGTTTTGGATCAGCAGAGTAATGTACTGTCCACCTTTGATCCTTTTTATGTAATAACATTTGAGAGACACAAACACATGCATCACAACTGATAGGTATTTGTTACAGTTAAAACCTGTTGGCTAGAGCAGTGCTTCAATCTAGTAACTGGATTTTAATAATTGACAAGTGACATAAAAGTAATTCCAAATCATGGGTGATATTTTTCCTTAAGCAAGAGATCATTGTTTTAAAATTGTTTGCTGTAAGCAAGTGGATATACATTATTTGTTACCTTATTCAGACGGATGATTTGCTACAATCCTTTTTGAGAAGGTAAAGCTTTCTTGAATGATACTTCACTCTAAAAGCAGTTTTCATGGGTGGGTCTGTTATACCGAGCAGAAATATTAAGTGTATTTCCTTGTACATTTAATATTTGTATTCCAAATATTTAAGTATGACCATATATATCTGAATGCATTAAAAAGTAATTAATGTACATCTCCCCCAGAAAGAAAATAACACTTGAAGATCCCTGTAGTAATTCCTCATTGGTAACTTTATATATACATGCAAGATTAATCCAATCAGACTGGTTTGTTGCTTAGAAGTCAACATCTCTATATGAAAAACAAATGCTCTGCTTTTTATTTTGAAACTGGCAGAGTAGGAAATACAATTCTAACTAAGATGGTAAAAAGCTAAAGAAAATACTTTGTTTAGTGTATGCAGAGAGAGTGCCAAATACACATCAGGAATTTCAACTTTTCAGTGTTACCTCTTCTGTTTTCAATCATCTTAAGTAGTCATTTGGCACTGCCTGCCTCTCTGCTGCTCTGAAATGTCCCAGCATGTGCTGGACTGATAACATCAATCACTGGAGCAGAGTGCCTGTCGCGGGACAAAAGGTAAGTTGTGCTTTACTCAGTTCTGTATGAATATTCTTCTATAAATCACAAGTGTGAATTTTATTTTTTTAATTAACCAGTTCAAGTACCACATCTAAAGGTCTCGTCGTCTTTGAGGATTGAAAGGGGGAAGAGGATACAATTAACTTTAGTAAAAAAGAAAAACTTTCCAGTAAGTAAGAGGAGGAGTTTTGCTTTCACATGGTTGCAGTAAAGTATAAAGAGTGGTTTAAAAGCAAACTCTATAAGAATGGCTGTTTGCACCCTTAAACAGGCTGCATGTTCTATTACTAACGTAAATGCCAGTGTGACTGCCTGAGGACAGTGTGTACTTGGACATCTGAGTAAGAAATCTTTGGTAGTGAGAGTTTCATGAACAAGAGATAGAAATGGAGACCTGGGCGATTACAATTGATTGAAATCCCACAGCTTATGTGGGATATGCTTTTACTGATACTCAAAAGCAGATGCTGTTCAAAAATATTGCATCTTTTATGTTGGCCCTGTGGTGTTGCGATTCAGAATCAAAAGCAAGTGGTGCTCTGTGTAGTTAACCAGTAAAACTATTTGAACATTAGAAAAAAAAAATTCTAATAAAAAGTTTTGTGCTGCCAGACTTTCAGTCTTTGTAACTTAAAAGTAATAAATGCTCACTTGGGATAATTGGGGGAAAACATGACAGTCTGAGCACACTCTTTTCAACATAAAAAATTCCAGCCCTTAACCAGAGAAGAAGAGTCATGAAATTGCCACGCAGAAATTGCTGCAAAGGGAGTAATGCTGATTTTGAAACCATTGATCAGATTTGAGAGAAGTTTAAGAGACTGCATCTCAGATAGAGCTGTTTAGGAAGCTGGAGTGTATGCAGAAAGCAACAGGTTGCTAAAAGCTTAGGAGCCGCATGTTCCTTCAACTAATAGATGTAATATAATACAACCTAAATGTCATCTATATATTTCTCAACACCTGGGATGCAGAAATATAATTGGTAATGTGCCTATGACATGGTTGTTTTTCTTTAAATATATATACTGGAAGTGGATGTCGGGGTTTTTTATTAAATCTGAGGCTCACACCAGCAAATTTGTTCAAGATGCAGAATCACATTTAGCATCCTTCATCAGGTCACTTTCACCAATATGCACTTAAAACTAGTATCACCTGAGGCACAGGGAGATACCTGGGGTAAACTATTCTTTTGGGGAGGGTAGAGTTCAGATCTAAATGAAAATGAACTATTCTTCACTTGCAATATGGCAACGACGCACTTTTAAGGCTGCAATTTTTAGCTATGAATATACATGTCCAAAGACCTAGCTTAAAGAGGTGCTGCATCTGAAAAACATGTTGCCACACACACTGCCACGGTGAATAGCTACAGAATAAAATCTGATGTAGAGGGGGGGATCATTCTTAATGAGTTTAATTAAGAAATACTGTTAAATCTTTCTCTGTCCCAACAACTTGATGAGGATCTTTGTTTCAATTCTGAAGTCTTCCATTTTCCTCTTTCCACAGTTGGTGTCCCTAGCTTCTATTTTTACGCCTCTGTCTTTCATTTGTTATGACTGTAATGCAATTACATTTCCAAAAAGAAAATGTGACTTTCTCATTTTCACCTTTTTAAACCTAATAGAAATGTTCTGAATGTTCACATGTGGCATTTATTTGCATTGGGATGCCATTGTCCTGTAAAGTGCAAATTTTAAAAATACAATTGGCAAAAAGATTTGATAGTTTTACAGAAAGATTTGCTATCTTAAACTCAAACTGTTTTCTATTTTCATCAAAATGACTGGGATGCTATCTTTGTAACTCTTTGAGGTCATATTTGTGAAATAAACAATACATGAAAGCTTTCCTGTCATACACACTATATGTAGTCTGGAGTGTTGAGCAAACTTGAGTTCCTGAGTTGTAATATCTGTCTACGTATGGTATTTACAATTTTGAATGTGTGCCACTACCAAGATAATAATGCTGTACAATTTTGAATGGTGGTAGTTTCTGTATGGCAGTCCAGCTGAACTATTTTGATGTACTGCTTAATTTTTGAATTTTATTTTTTAAGTTGTATAATTTATTTTCTTGCAAAATAAAAATGTAATATAAAAGACTACTCATTTAGCAAGGTATCTTGGTGTCTTCCCCTGCAAAATTTTTAAGTTGAATTCAGGTGCTGCTCCTGAAAAATACCACTGTATGAAATTTGCCTGGTTCCAAGTCCCAAAGTCTCTTACGATCAGAATACCTAAAAAAAAAAAAAAAAAAAGACTTCCAGTTCTTCTCTTGTTATGATTTTTCAAGTACTAAAGGTTATCTGTAGAGCTATTTAGTCTTAAAAATTCTATTTAAAGATGAGCTGTAGTCATTCAATTTAAATTTAGCAAAGCTTGCCATGCCAAGAGTGGCTGGGGGTGCCTGACTTTCTGTTTATGGCATTTTTAAAAAGGGTTACATCTCTGTGTAAGTTACTGGGAGGTACTGAGAGTGCCCCAGCTTCCCCCCCCCCGA